TAAAGAGGGATTTCTCAAACATATATACTCTCTGTTGAATAACTCCATTACCGTTAATGTAGTTACATATAATTCATTTCTCTTCAACATTGCGGTATACCTACTGTTGAATATGATATTACAACATTAATATTCCAGTCATGTGTTGTTCCTATTTGTGGTTCTCTTTGTACATATCTCGCATATTGCCGTAAAATGTGATCCGTATTTCATGCTGAGTATTACTTATTGCTGGGGTGGATTCAGTCCTTTATTTGCGGGGACGAAATAAGATAGTTACATTGACATGGGCGTATCAATGTATTAAATTTCAACAAAAGAAACCTCTTTTCATATATTCTGCAACTGCAATTGATATGAAATGTATTCTCTATATTTCAGCCTCTATTGAAAATCTGGAAACATGCAAAAACATATCAAACGTACTTAAGGGGACCATTTTGTAGGTTAGTTTGCCATTCAGCCACAAATTATGAATGGACTGACCCGTTACTTAATTAACCATCCAGCGGAGACCGACAACACCCCAAAGTGGATAAATGTAAAGATGGGTTGAGTGTCGTTTAGTTACCTTTTCAAAAATACCACATACTTGACCTTTCTTTTTAGCAATTCGCAAGAAATCTGGTGAAAACTGTGAAAAAGTTTATAATAATAATAATAATAATTACACACGTTTGTTAACTATAAAAAGTATAATTAAAAGTAACTTGAAGAAGTTTTCAAGTCCAAATATTTAGAAAACGGTTGCTTACAGCGACTAGTAACAAGGGTAGCTTATTTACGTATATATGATAGAGGAATCGATTTTTTTACTGAAAAATGTGCTAGAAGTACGCCCAAAAAAGTAATGAATCTTTAAAAAAGAAAAAGACGTGTAGGTGACGCCCCCTACGAGTAAGAGCATCAGGTTCGAATTCGACACCTCAAAAACCTCCTATTACCAAGTTTCGTTCAATGAAGTTCAGTATTCCAAAAGTTATTTGAAAGAAACGAAAATAAAAATAAAACTTCAACATTCTGTATCTTGGAAACGAAGCGTTTCCGGAGGTTTTTTTATTCGGACAATTCATATTAGAATATTGTGAGGAATCACCTCCTGAAGTTTGTCAAAGTACTTTTGAATCACCCTGTATACCCGTCGTAAGAATGACGAGTTTTGTAGATTGTGCATACCGAAAAAACTAACTTCTGAATTTGTTAAAGTTTTTCACGAGGCGCTTGATCATTCCGGTTCATTTAAGACTTGTAAGGCTTTACAAGGAGAAGTTTGGTGTAATAATATGAATAGAGATGTGAAAAAATGTATTCTAAGTTGCGACTTATGTCAGAAAGCAAAATGTGCTCCTAAAGCACAGACCCTGCTTTATTCAATTCTGCCCAGTAGTAGGAATGAGTTATTAGCTATTGATTGTATGGACCACTTCCAAGAAGTAGAGGAGGCGCCTCATTTTTGTGCGTAGTCTTAGATGTGTTCACAAAATTTGTAACATTTTATGCTATGAAAAAAGCCACGACTCGGGCTATTATCAATCGTTTAACCAATGATTACTTCGCTAAATACTGCTTTCCTAAGGCTATATTGAGTGATCAAGGAACTCAGTTCACTAATAAAAAATGGAAGCAAGCTCTAAATGCTCCAGGAGTTAAGGTAATAATTTTTTCTGTAAGACATCCACAAGGTAACCTAAGTGGAGGGTTATGCGGGAAATAGGTCGTCTCTGTCGTACTTACTGTAGTGGCCAGCGTTCCAGTTGGGCATGTGAACTTGTTCACTTTTCTTTATTTTTGAATTATTCAGTTCAAATACTTTATTTTTTGAACCTCTCAATATTGGTAACTTTCTGTTGAAACCACCTCCAACCTAAATCCAACGGTACTTTAAAAAGAGCCTTCTTTTAAAGTTCTTCAACAACTTGTCGTAGTATCCACGGTAATGCGGGGCTTTGCCGTGATTGACCTTCTTTCCCTAACTACTTGTGGGACTTTTATGGACAGAGTAAACTTAAAAAATTCTTTCTGACGCTGAGTCTACAAAGGAGATGGATGTCGACTCCAACTGACCTCCCCGTAAATTTAGACTTTGTCTTTCTACCTATTTTGCGACATTTCATAAGTTGTTCAGGAACTTCAGGAGTGATGAAAATGTAACGTAAACACGTAAGACCTTGTCATAAATGTCGATTTCTGAGGGTTGCCGTTTGTGAGGGGGTGACAGCAGAAAAACAGATTTTAAAAAGACAAATGAAGAGTATAGAGTTTTCATAATTAGGAATAATTTCAATTTTTGTTTAATGTTTTTTTGTTCACGGGATGGAACAGCATTATACATTTTTTGGCACATATGAACGACCTATGAATAAAGTTAAACCTACATTAATATTTGATTGAAAAATTGTAGACTGTGTGGCTTCACACAAATGGTTGTTTTTAAGATTTGTCAACTATTCAATGTTGTTTGATATTCTACATTTTCCCATTATCGCGGTGTCACTCTGTTTCTCTGAAATTATTTTTCCGGTACATGAACCATTATGAGAGAGATGATCAAATCACCTATTTATGTATGCACATTCTCACAGAATCCAGTTGGGTATCATATTATACATCAACGATAAAGTATTCGGGTTTCGGACTCACATTCACCCCTTTCATCCATCCCTTGTTCAAATTGGTTAATCCTGAATTCAAAGTGTCGCCCTGCGGTCCTGAAACAAAAGCCAAAGGCCATCCACGGCCTTTTTGTAATCAACATAACTAATTATAATTGAATTTGCCGATTTAGGGTTAGTAGAGGTCATTAAATTTCGCAGTCAAATTTCAGCTCTTGACGACTCATCAAATTTCGTGTTTGACGGATTTTGTACTCCGGGTAGTCCGGTATTTATAAGCTATTATCTGACCCAGCTAACATCGTACCGCCTTATTATTGCTATATGTGTTGAAATATTGGTCGAGTTATTTTAACTTACGAATATTCTGTTTGTGAAGCACAAAGTAGAGCCATAATGAAACGGCCAGCGTTGCCAGGTAATTTTCATGTTGAGAAGTAGTTTTTGTGTCAGAAAATCAGTAGATTGATACAGAAGAAGATATATTTTATAGATACAAACAGCATACGAGGTGTTTCTTCTTATTTACAGTAATTTAACATTTATAACGGAAAGGAAATTGAGTCATCAGTAGATTTTAACTCTCACACAGTGAAAAAATAGCTGCAGAGCCAAAAAACAAGAGATATATTGCAGAACAGTAGACCTGGCAACACTGAAAAAGGCGCTTCTCTCGTGCGATTTCATCTTCATATGAAGTGGATTGATTCGCGAATTTCATTATTTGCTAGGGAAGCACATAGACCCAGGTATTGATGAAATTGTGGCAGTTCTCCTGCGTAACCTGTGTACTAGTACACATCATAAACGCAATTATTGGACACTGACATTATCCGGATTGTCTGAAGCACGCCGAAGTGGTGCACATTCATGAGACTGGAAAACTTGAATCTCTCATAGATATCTATAGGTCGATCTCGCTACTCAGTGCGATGGCGATGGTCATCGATAAAATCCTCTTGAGCACACTTTTTCGCCTGGAAGATAGGATGAAGCTCATTCCCGAGGAGGTTGGAATAAGACTTTTCAACTAATCTGGCTTGTTCACAGGGTGAAGGATCCTTCAACTAGGGGAAAAACATGGTTATGGTTCTACTGAATATCCAAAAAGCTTTTGACAAAGTTTGGATGAAAGGGTTTGTCGCCAAAGTGTGGTCGACAGGAATTATTGGTGATTAGGATTCTCGAATTCTACCTGAGCAACCGAACGTTTCGTGTGAGAGTGGACCAAACCAAATCTGCGAATTATCCAATCAAAGTAGGTGTCTCGCAGGGATCCTGTTTATCACCGCACGTATACTCTCTGTATTCATACGATTTTCCGATGTTTCCGCAGTGTTTTCTGCGTGTATATGCGAAGTGGCGAAGCAACAACTGCAGATGCACCTCGTCAGGTTTGTCGTGCCGTATTTTGAGAGAAATAAGATCCAGAGTGATCCCAACAATTTATTAACGTGAAGATCNATCTTTAGATGATTTTTTTATTTCATTTGTTACCCATTCATTTCCAATGGTTTTTTTAATTTTTTTGTTTTTAATGGGACACGTGGCTTCAAAGTTGTAAATCAATGTGTCAAGAAAGGCGTTAAATTTTGAATCAGTATTGTTTACCAAGTAAACCTCTTCCTGGTTTTCCTTCTTTAATAAGGTTATAAAATTATTAATATTTACCTCACTCGTTTCCCTAGCATAAATTGTTGTATTAACAGAAGGTTCATTATCTGAAGGTACTGCAAGTAGAAAATTATCATGGTCTGATTCTGTATTAATATCAACCTTACCCTCACAGTATTCAACATTTGTATATTTGTGGTGCATACGCATCACTTTCCTGATAACGAATCTGGTACCTATATACGAAGATGACACTGAGATATACGCGCATTCGTTCTCGAGTGAGGTGGCGAAGCAACAGCTTCAGATCCACCTCGACAGGTTGGTCGTGCCATATTTCGAAAAGAGGAAGATTAAACTTTATAGAGTTGTTAAAAATAACGATTTGGTGTTGGAAAAATAACTCCAGCAATATTCAATCCTGAATCTGTTTACTTCCGAACTGATTTAAATTTTTCTAGATTGATTCTAGATTTTGTTATTTGGGAGGGGAAATGACTATATCATGTGGTTTGGAAATAGATAGCCAAAAATAAATGAACTTGTGATGCACTGTTTGGAACCTTTGGTGCAGTAATAAATATTACTGGAGTGTTTCCCAACACCAAACCGTTATTTTAACACCTCGACACGTGTTTCGATCACCAAGTGATCATCTTCAAAAGGAAGATCAAAGTAAACTCCTGTCGAGGTGTTAAAATAACGATTTGGTGTTGGGAAAAAACTCCAGTAATAGTCATGAAGACATAAAGACAATCAGAAATCAAATACAGATTTGCCTTAAAATTTTAATTTTGAATCAACAAACACAATGTTACTTCAGTTCACATGGAGTAGTTGGTGGAGTGCTACCGTTTCTCCAAGGATATTCTCAACCCATTCAAGGACGCCAAAGTTATTTCCGGTACTAACTGTGGTTTGAATTCCTGTTTAGATGGTGATATTCTGAAATTGCTAACGATCTTCGATAGGGTGGTCTTCATTTCGAGCATTGCAAACTTCTTTCCTGCGAAATATAAATCAAAGCTATATTAGTATTTTCACATTTTTTCAGAATATCAACATGATCAGTAGAAAAAAATTATCGAAAGGAACAATTTGTTCAGGTCAGTCTCAACTCCCTGTCGGTTAATGGACTGACACCTATCAGAAAACAACTACTCCCCGGGCTAATACCACGAAGGGCGTTGGTAAATAGAGAATACGGTTTTCTAATGGTATAATGACATAATTTTGGAACTTCAATACAAACCTATGCAAATCCTTGGGCCGAACCCAAATGGCAAAAAACTGTAGGGTAATATTTCATCGGTTTCGAATCTTTCCGGTATGAATTTTTCGGGTTCTCGAAAATGTTTGGGAAGATGATGACATCCATATATTGAAATCACAAGTGAAAGATTCGTCGGAAGAACCATACCTTTACCTGAAATGGGTCAATAAGCATAATACCATTGAAATATAAATATTTTTTTTGTTTTTTTTTTAAGACAAAACACAAGCACTACAGAACAATTCTTAATGCGCTCTCAGAGCGGTGCCTGTGCGAAAGTAGCGATTCACATTGGATTTGAATCGCTGGAGAATAAATCCATTTGGAAAAATGTTCTCAGGAAGTTTATTCCACATAAACGCAGTTCTCTAGAAGAAAGGGTTCTTGAACAGTGAAGTTCGAGGTGTACTGAGTTGAACCTCAAAACGATGAACAGCCACAGTCCGTCGCGTAATCTGATATTGTACCGCTCTTGGTAGAATTAAATGTGCCAAGTCATATGAACACCTCCCGTGAAAATATATATAGAAGAGAGGCAAATCTCCAACTTTTCTTCGATGTTCTAGGCTATCAAGGTGGCACGTGATATTCGCGTCTCCAATCAGGTGGATGGCTCCTTTCTGGATGGAATCCAGCAACTTCAGAGTATGTCTGGGGGCAGAGTTCCATAAATGAGAACAATATTCCAAAGAAGATCTTATCTGAGCTTTATAAAGCATCAAAAGTTACTGAGGTTCTTGTGGTATTGAATTGAACCTGGTTACTTTTAGCCCAATTCGAAATTACTTCTAGATCTTCATTACGATATCGTCGCTGCCGTGAAAAAACCTCCTATGTGCACACTTTTATGAAAACTATGTTTTGGTAACACCTGACGGCATTTTAGGATACCTAACTTGTAGCAAAATCTCGTATGTGTCAGTTCAAATCGTGATTTCTAATTTTTATAATAAAAAGTCTCCTATGTAGCCTCAAGCGGAAACTGCACGTGGTAAAATATTCTAGGTGCTTGGTTCATCATTGGCTGGACACATAGAATGTTTTGCTGTAATCCTAAACGCGACAAAACCGCGCTTATGTGACGAAGTGGCACATAGTTGATTTCAGTTCAACGTTCATCTAGAAGTTTAAAAACTATTTTTGAACATTTTTTACATCAGTGACTAATAAAAATAAGGTAAGTTAACATGGACCGAATTTATTAAATAACTGTACGTTGTCTGGATACAAACTGGTTTGATTGTTTTACCGAGTAAGATCTGAAATATCAATTACGGAAGATCATGGTTGTTCAGTAAGTATCGTCAAACCGAATTGGTCATTGTGTTCGAAAATTGGGGTATTTTAGGCCGTGATGACTGATCATGGATTTGCAGCTCGAAAAAAACCAAACGATAGGGAAACACCAGCAAATAACATTAGGAGATGTGACTATTCACATATCCTAATGTAGAACATGAACAGCTTCAGTATGACGAAATTNAACACCAGCAAATAACATTAGGAGATGTGACTATTCACATATCCTAATGTAGAACATGAACAGCTTCAGTATGACGAAATTCTTCATGCAAAAGTAAACTGTTCCTTTCCACTTTGCTGCCAATATGTCCTACGGAAAAGGAAATTGAAGTAGTGAACATACTAGAGGAGGATGGAAAGAGCAAGCAAGAATTAAACTCAATACAAAATAATGGTAACGAAGAGGAAGAAGTTGGGGAGGTACCAGTGGAAATGTATACTTGAGATGTTCAAGAACTGAACTTGAAAGAAAGTGAATCCATGGAAGCTGAAAGTTATTTTTCACAAGAAGAAAGCTCCAATAAGTAAAAGGGGATTTTGGAAACCAATAAGGAAAATAGGAAGAGCAATAGAAGGTCTTCAAGCATTTCAGAAGAGCATTCATCCAGCACACCGGACAAGCCAGTTTCTCGAATAAGTAAGAACATACTAAAAGCTAAGAAGATGCGAGTTTTGGGTCAATCCTATGTGGGATATTCAAAGCTCGAAAATGTAAAAATCGACCAGAATTGCGAAAAATCATCAAGGTCAGTTAAGCAGTGTTGTGCCCATATAAATACAATTAAAAAGACTTGTAGAACTCTTATGTGTAATGAGATGACTGATGACGAAAGAAATGTACTTTTTGAAAATTTTTGGAGATTTTCCACTTGGTCTGAGAAGAAAGCGTTTGCAACGGGTTTGGTGAGCACAAGAGAAATTCGAAGAAGAAGAAAAAGAGCAGAAGATAATGCAAAACAAGTATTCAGAAAAACATAAAGTCACTATATATTCCTACTCTCTAATGGGGAGAAAGTAGAAGTGTGTGAACTGTTTTATCAACACCCTAAATTTAGAAGCAGACACATTTGAAAGATGGTATAAACGTAGTGAGTGTGACGAAATTCCAGATAGTGAGGGGACAAGTGAAACGAGGAGCAACAGTAAACAGCAAAACCGATGGAATGAAAAAAAAAACACATGAAGAGATGAAGGAAAATGTTGTCAAATGGCTAAAATTACTTCCAACTGTTCCAAGCCATTACTGTGGGAGCAATACATATGTAGAATTCACATTTAGATCTCTTTCTCACATGCATAACGTGTTTCGTAAGTGGTGTAGGCAAAACTCAGTGAAGAGTGTTTCAAGAACCTTCTTCTTAGATGTTCTAAAAGACCAAAATATTAAAATACACCAACCTCGCAAAGACCAATGCGACATCTGTTGTGGATATGGAGTGAAAATGATCTCTCCAGATGTGTACCAGAAACACATTGAGAGGAAAAATGAAGCTGGGGATGCTAAAAACGCGGCCAAGAATAAATCTGATGAGAATCACTTAGTACTGACCATGGACCTTATAGCTTCATAACTTCACTATTTTTGTTCTTAATAATAAAGATGTGACGTTATACCTGTCGCATGTGTCAAATGGTGGCGTAACATCTAATGAGTTCACTAGTTGTGTTATAGATTTTATTACATTTCAACTGATAAATTTCGGGTGGTTATAATCATAGCTAATGGATGTAATTATCAAAATAGAAATAGAGTATTAGCTAGTGCTCTGAGTGGCTAGATGCCTCCAAGATTTAAGGCGTGTCATCGAGAAAGATCATAGTTTCTACGATAATATTCCATTTCAATCTGATAGAAAAGTTAAAACTAAAAATTAAATATTAAAGATAATATTATTGATGTTCTGTAACATTGTACCTAGTTTTTAGTTTATTTGTTTGTGTCAAGTTGATATTCTTTTGCAGTCAGATGGGCTGAAATCGCTTATGTGAGTCATGTTAAAAAACTGTAAAAGCTCTCATGTGTTTACTGTAACCTGAAATAATCATGTAGTTTAAAAATCACGAACCGTTGTTTTATTTCTTTTCTTGAATGGATAGACATATTTGACTATGAATTACTATGAATTAAGTGAAGAAGTGCCGTTTGTCTTCCCTTCAAAATATTATGTTTTTTTGGTCTCCTGTAAAATTCACATTTTAGCACATAGAATATTTTTCCACGGCAGCGACGATATGCAACCTCCTGCTGCCGGTGAAGATGTGCCTCCGTAGCCGATGTCCTGGAATCCAAATGTAATGACGAGACAAGTGTGCTGTCGTCATCAAAGCAATATATTGGATTCTTGTTTTTTTCCAATAAGTCGTTGATAAATAATGAAAAGAGGGTTGGAGACAATATAGATCCTGGGGAACACCAGCAATAAATTGCTTTCGCTATTGAGAAGTATTGCTCATATCCTACTGACTGCGCCATATTATAACAGTTATATTGTTAGTTTATTCACAAAAAGAGTCACTGCTATTGAGTAGAACATACCTATATCAGTTTCCTCAATTACTTTTCTTCCACAATAAGGAATAGGAGGATATAACCGCAAAGTTTCGAGAATAACCAATTCTAAATACTTCTCGCTCCGGGGCGACTACATTGATTCCAGTGGCGCATTTGCTTTTTCAGCTGCAGGAAAACCCGGAAAAACTTGCAGCATCATCTGAAGATCTTGATCTGCCAATATCCTCTCTTTCATAAAACAAAATGTAGGGTGTCTCCAGAGGCTTCAATAAAATCAATATGTCGCCAGAACACTTAGTGACATGACTATTATTAAACCAGTCGTCTTTGACCAAGGCGTAATAATGACCAGGTTCAACGCCAGAATCCCAGTGAACAATGACAGCATGAAGATTATAATAGTAATCTGCTAGATTGAAGTGTTTATCTATTTCGAACCTTCGTGAGAGTTTGGTGCTTCCGTTAGAGGTTGAATCATGTTTGAAGATCATCAGTGTTATTATTAGATTGACTGGTGCCTCAGATATACTTATTTTCTTATAACAGTCAGTTGGTTTGGCGCATGTTTGGCAATACAGTCGATCATCATCTGTTAAAATTTCCATTTTCAGATGATTTAACAAAAAGTTTTGCACGGACTGGTTATTAGTCATATTAGGAAACGCTAGTTGAAGTTTCAGAAGTTCACACGTTTTTGCTACCTCTTGAACATTTGCTACAAAGTAAACAAATGAGGATTTTTCCAGCAAAATATCTACAAACACAAGACGAGATATACTGTACGGAATCATTCAATCCAGAGCGGTCCGGATTATTGATTCTGCTATTTTTCGCTCACGAAGAGTATTCAACAAAAACCCAAAAAATTCGGAGCAATCCTCTTGTTATCCTAACGAGTATCTAGTGGATTTCAAAGATTCCAGGAAATCGGTTGGTGGGAAAGATGATACATTCTTACGAAACTGCAGCTGCATGAACAGGTGCTTGAGTTTGATAAGTAAGTAAGAAACATTCTCGTTTTCGTTCATCGTTAAAACCTCGTTCTTGTAATTCTTCGTCATGAACAACACTTGTGAAATGCTATTCATGTAGCAAGTACTTCCTAAATTATCTAATCCTACCCACTTCAGAATATTCTAAAATATGTTCATTCTGTTCTTTGAGCTCAATTTGTAAAGAGTGACATGCTAACAGACTAACTACTCTTGGGGGATCTAAACTGTATATCTGCCCAGTTGACAGGCGTTTTTCAACTTAATCTTGAGGTAAAGTTGCTACTGAAAATTTCAATCACAAGCATGAATCGAAATCTTGTTCACAATTAATGGTGATTTTATAATGATTCATCATGTAATATCAGCTAGCTTCACTTGAAACCATCACACATTCTCTCACCCCAAACATGAACGTGTTGACTTCATCTCGAATATTTTCCTTCGTCAAAATGGAACTTTTATGGAACTGTATCAGAACGTCTAACAGAGCACGTTTGCCATCAATTTCCATTTCATCATCCACCCTTCTTAGTTTCTCCTCAAAAATATCGTCAAAAAAGGAGTTCACCATTTTAATGGATCGTTGCTGGGTTCTATAATCATTTGTGAAATAAAAAATCCAGTGGATTCGTTCGTAAGGTAGTTTGAATCTGTTTATCATCACTTTACATATATTTTGGATGTTTTGTATGTACAAATCGCCTTGGGTTCCTCTTGAGGAAAGAGACACGCCCATAGCTGTTTCTGAAAAGAAAACAATACAGTATCTCTAAATGTTCAGTAGGGTTGAGGCTTGCTTATTTCAAGAGTTTCTATAGAAATCTTTCGAGACTGTTTGTGGCTGTTGTCTACTGCAATTTCTTCCTGGTATCTCGGCAGCTCTAGTGGTCGCCATTTACCTACGTCTATTAGGCGGGCTTACAAGTTCGTAGGCTAACACATAGGTGGCGCTGCTAGTATCGAATTTGTATGATTTTCAGTTAACCCTAAGCTTCAAAAGACATGTGTAGAAATTTCACAGCTGTCGGACTATCAGTTTGTGGAACAGAACATTTTGAGTCAAGAAAGTTTTGTTAGTTTGAAGAAGGAATTTTGTGTGTTAATGAAGCATTGTTTTTTTGCCGTTGAGAAGTGGTTTGCTAAGTTTAAACGAGGTGAAATAAGCTCTGAAAACGGTGCAAGCAGTGTACGCCTCAAAGAGGTTGTTACCGATGAAGAACGTTTTTCCTCCTGGCCTGACTGATAAGTACAGAAGAAAAAAATAAAACTATGTAGCCTATAGTGTATCTGGAAAAGCTTTAGTTGGGTTGCAGTCAGAATTTTTGGTATTAGGACAAAGAAGACTCCTTATTTTTCTCAAGCTTTCGATAGTTTATTTCTACCTTCCTTAAATAAGAAATCACCTCAGGCTTTGAATACACTTTATTCAGAAAACAAACAATTTTTTCAGTAGGTTGGGTGAAACCCATGAAATTTCTATCTAAAAAGGTCAGGTATGAATTCACCAACTATATCAATACATTTTTTGAAAGTATACCTGTAAATATACCTATCTATTTTCACCTGCAAATGAACATATTCAATAATGGCAAATTATTCAATTCAGTTTGATCGTTCATAAGATGGTGGGAGTTTTTAAATTTGTTCATTTCCATACCCTCCAACATGTTAAGTTTCAAACCTTTCTTCTGCAAATGGAGGGGCTTGTATTCATAGTAGAACTCATGTCCCTCTGAGATTGAATGAGTGGCATATGTGGAATTTATTTTCCTATTCTGGAAACTATATTTGTGTTCCTTTATGCGGGCTTTGAACGCTCTTCCTGTTTAACCTATATAAAACATCGGACATGACCCACACAATAATTTTACACTCCTGATTTTTCTGAAACTGAACTTTTCTCTCTGTTATTCTTGAAGTGCATGCCTATGTTGTTCTTGGTTTTGAAAGCAGTATTTACATCTTTGCTGTGCAGATAATCTGAAATATTTGCAGTGGGTTGGCCTAAGTAGGTTGAGGTTCTATAACTTTTAAAAATAGTTAGGTATATTTACAGGTGTACTTTCAAAAAGTGTATTTCTTTTAAAGGAGATCATAGGTTGCTTTGAAATTTTTATCTCTATTGGAGAAACTATTACTTCATGCCAACAGCGCCATGTTCCACAAGAGAATCACACTTTTTTATTAACGAAGAAATCAAATTTCTTGGTCTTTCAACGACACATCCGTTTGATTATATTATTCCGATGATGAACTATTTTGAATCAAGAAGAGAAAAATAAACTGTTCAAATGGAGAGCAATATCAACTTGATCTCATTGTTTCTTTGAATTCAAAATTGTATTTTTTCAAATAACTCAATTCGTTTATTACAAGAGTTTTTTGAATCTATATACAAAACTATATTATATTCGACTGAAGATAACAGGAATTTTGCATAGAATGGACAGCATTTCTTTTAAAGAAGTATTTCATTGATTTTAGTTTGAAAAAAAAAACTGTTTTATTTGAACATAGGTATTATTGAAAAGGATTATGAGAAACTAACAATGTAGAACAGTGTTCGCGTACGCGCCAGTATGTGTTGGAAAGTAACGTTGGTGTGCTGTGATTTTAAGGTCTTACACAGTTGGAAGATATTTTCATGGGTGAGTTATATAATTGGATAAAATTGAGGTGTTTGGGTTACTTGAGAAAGAAACTCCGCTATATCAGTAAGTGCTGCGTTGTATACCTAGTACCGAAGGGAAAGTGGTAAATTTTGACAGCAATTTTGACATCAACACATCAATGAAAACGATGACAAAATTGTAATGAATTGGGCGTCGAATTGCTGTATTTTCCAGATACGGCCTCCAGCAACTTTTTCTCGTTTTCAGACCTCATGAAAATGCTCACTTGAAAAAAAAATAGCTCCGATGATGAGGTGATCGTCAAAACTGAGACCTGCGTTTTGAGGCTAAAAATGATATCGAAAAATTGTATGACTACTATGATTGTTATATCGCCCTGAAAGGCAACTATATTGAATTATGAAGCTAAATTTTATAAAAAATTCTGTCAGCCTACGAACATTTCAACCTAACTGTATACTACTGCTTCTAAGGTGGGAGTTGCACCCCAAAATTGGACTCTCTCCTGACGAATCGTCAGGAAGAAAACCACAAACAGTTTCAACTCCCTCAGTTTCAACTTCTCACTACGATGATGAATTTTACTCACCACACAGAACATTCAACGTATATTTCTTCATTATGGGAATAATATCCAGGTTTTCATCATCTATCTTACTCTCAAGTTCGTTCATGAAATGTCGTCCACTTGTTTCGAAAACCTTGATGAAATCCTTCATGAGACCTAAACTTCCGAAACATTGAGACAAAAGTTTTCTACGCGATTTCCAACTTTGACCTAGAAGAAAATGTTGATTACTTTTTGCTTCATCACAATATGAAAGAAATTTTTTTTGGTCGTTTTACGTTCGATTAGAGGTTTCCATATGTTACGTATCTTTACGCTAGCTGGACTAAATGCGTTGTTGGACAACATATACGCGGCTTCTTTGAATTTTCTCTTATATCAATGTTCCTCTTTGTGAATGATTTCAGCTTGAGCCCACTTGATATTATGTTGATGAGCCCAAACATGCTCTGCTATTCCGGATTTGCTGGTTTCTCCTCGCTGTGCGTGTTTCTTGTGCTCAGCAACTAGGTGGAGGTCATTTTAAAGAATTACTCCGTTTGATTTTGTTTCCACTGTTGATTTCCTCATTAAAATGAACGACAGCGAATATTTCGTTGTTTCTTAAATTGATAGAGGACAAAAGAGCTTGCCATTGAGAAAAATAGGGGGGTAGTTGGGGGGTGAAGTTTCGGATATAATTCCCATATCGGAATTGATCCTCCTAGAAATAAAAATTAAATTGACGTGTTTTTTGGTGATAATCCATTGTCATTTCATGCTCCACCACACCTGTCCCTACTTGAAATGAAAAGTTTGCAACAGATTCCCAAGGAACATTAGGTCTGAGAATGAACATGAAATGTTGATGAATTTTAGAAATAACGATACATTTTTTAATAATATTTTCGAATCAATTGATTTAACTCTCGATCCGCCGGCGCCGAAAAAAAAAACCAATTCAGACTTACCCGCTTTGAGACAAAATTATAAACAAATGAAATATTGGACACCTTGCTAATGCAAATCAAAGTTAGATTTGAAGATTCACTTAAATTAAACTACTTTGATTTGACTACTTTATAACTACTTAATAGCTCAGTATCTATTTTTCAATGTTATTCAACTGAAAAATGAATAAATCGTAATGTACAGCGACCCTCAAATGTTTCAAAATTGCAAGTCTCCTACAGATTTATTAAATTTTGTGTTCAAAAATGGAAAATTAAAAATGATTTATATTAAATAACTCAAAGACAACCTTTTTTCCTTGTTTTTGTTTTTTTAATAGTCAGTTTTATACGTATAATTTAGCCTTCCTTGTTCTCCAATGCACGAGCCGTCACTGGGTGCTAGGATACTCGGGAATCATAGCTGTTTCACGGTATCCAAAAACATGTACGGGATAATATCAGGAAATGATTTGATAGGAATCATAAAAAGTATTGGGGAAATAGTCCTGGGAACTCACATGAAAAAATCTTCATCAAGGAAACGTTTAAGAAAAAAACTGTAGAACTACCGCAGCGTTGATCGACTTGAAATAGTAACAGCTATATTTATTACTTACCATTTGGCTGTAGATCAGAGACATTGTAATGAAGGGATCAAGACAGATCGTCATATTTTATGCGAATGTGATGCACAAAAGCAAGGCAATTCATAGATAACACAAATTATTTTTAGGAGAATATGACAAATATGCGAGAAACATAAAATTGGTGAAATCTCTCTGCAACCTATCCAAAACTTTGTTCCGAATTTATATTAGATTCTTTGCAATAGTTGATTCAGGCAATGAAAAAAAGTTATGTTTATTCTGTTCTGGGCAACGTCTCCTTTAAAGAACAGATTCTCTTTCGCACAATTGCACTGCGGCCTTTGCACCCGGAATAGTGACACTGAAACGGAGTTTTATTTACATCTCATTTGAGTACCCTGTAGAATGTGTCTCTATTAGAAAAATAACGAGATAAAGTACCCAAAGAAGTCTGATGTTTGTCCTAGCATGATGGTGACATTATGCCAGGACCTGTTCTGGCCCTACCACAAATAGAATAATACTCTGTAATGTGACTGAATGAAGATAAAGATGACATAATATTTTTTCTGATTAGTTCATCATTTAATGTAGGAATTCCTATTTGGGGCTGTAAATGAAATTAATTGAATGAAATATCGCCTTACCGTTGTTTGTCAACAAACCGGTCCCCAGCCATGGTTTGAAAAAAGCATAATCACCTGCCTTAACTATTGAGTCTTTGAAAAATTGCTGTATTACTTCGTTATCAGTAATGGCGATAGTTACACTTGGTGGTATAAGTACTCTAATAACTCCGCCATATTTAATTGCTGCGTCAACTCCTACTTGAAGGATATCTGAAACAGTTAATGAGATAATTAAAAATGTGATAGCATTTTTCGCGATATTCAAAACAATAGATTGGTATTCAGTGGAAAAAATTAGTATAAATATCTTGATAGATACTTGTGAGCTTTGACAGATGATTATCGAATTTTAACTAGCTGTCTTTACTTCAAAACGTTGTCTGGTCTTTTCAGGTATTGTCAAATTAATTCCATAGAATTCAGATAACCTTTTCAAAATCGATAGAACGAAGCTCATTCTTACAGATTTCGGGAACTTTTATCAATAAAGAAAAGTTGCAATTGCGAATGGTTATCTTTGACATAGTGGATCACTTTGAAGGTTAAGGTTGCACTTTTATTATGTGTTGTCTTACCTATTTTGAAATTGTAACCGATATAATTGAGAAGAAGAAGAACTTTATTTCCAGATAGGCAAGCCTAATATAAACATAATTAATGTACTTCATCTGAATATAATACATAAAAATCAAAATAAATTAGTCTATTACAACCAAATAACAGAAAATCACAAAAAAAAAAAAAACTATATCGCACATATTCTATATAGGATACACGTTTACATATTTACTTATATATTCATTCAAAACAAAGTCTTAGTTATTATTATATTTTAAATATAAATTAGCTT